AAAGTACTACAGTACTACAGTACTACAGTAAGTTAGTACTAAAGTACTACAGTACTACAGTACTACAGTAAGTTAGTACTAAAGTACTACAGTACTACAGTACTACAGTACTACAGTACTACAGAATACAGTATTAGAGTAATAGAGTAATACAGTAATACAGTATTAGAGTAATAGAGTAATACAGTAATACAGTATTACAGTAATGCAGCAATTTAGTAAGTCAGTACTACAGAATACATTAATACAGTACTACAGCAATACAGCACGCCACAAGCCACAGGCAGAGGCATGTACATACACAACGAGCCAACACACCAAACACCTACCAACCGTCACAAAACTCCAACAAAAACAAGAAACATCATGGCCATCCAAAAAAGCAGTGTGCCATGGGTCTTGGGGCAGGTCTTTTTTTTGCAATCGCGCAGCCGCCTACTGCATGGCCCGAGCCTCCAATAAAAAAGATCTCAAAAACCCTCGTCTCTTCTTGCCCTAGTCTTCACCCCGACAGTACGTATTCCGCGGCCACAACCCCCGCTTTTGTTCGTATCCAGCGGCTCCACAGACTGCCCGCTTTTTCTGCCCCACTCGAATATGGGCAAGCTTCTCTCCGGCTCGCTAGGCCTTGGTGCCGTGGGCATCGCCTCGTATTTCTGGGGCAAGCCGTCCACGCCAGAACCCGTAGAAATCGTTGCGGCCAGTAGTCACGCCACCGGCGGCGCAGTTGCAAGCCCCGGCGGCCCGGGCATTTCCGGGCCGTCGCCCGTGCAGCCCGACGCCTTCTACAAGTACGGGTTTCCGGGCCCCGTGCATGACCTCAACAAGCACGCCGAGTTTGTCACGTGCTACGACCGGGCCAAGCGGAACCCCTACTGGGTGCTCGAGCACATAACCAGGGACTCCATCAAGCGGACCGACGGCGTGGACCGCAAAAAGTCCGTTTTTCGCGAGGACGAGGCGGTGCCGTTGAAGTTCCGGGCCCGGCTCCGGGACTTCTTCCGTTCCGGCTACGACCGGGGCCACCAGGCGCCGGCGGCCAACGCCAAGTTTGACCAGCATGCCATGGACGAGACGTTTCTCTTGTCCAACATGTCGCCGCAGGTGGGCGACGGCTTCAACCGCGACTACTGGGCGCATTTCGAGGACTTTGCCCGCCGGCTCACGCAGAAATACGACGACGTGCGCATCATGACGGGCCCGCTCTACTTGCCCAAGTTGGGCGACGACGGCAAGTACCGCGTCACGTACGAGGTCATTGGCCTGCCGCCAAACGTGGCGGTGCCCACGCATTTCTTCAAGCTCTTGGTGGGCGAAAACGCCGGCTCTGCGGCCGTGGCCGTGGGAGCGTTTGTGTTGCCCAACGAGCCGATCGACAATGCCCAGCCGTTGACGCTGTTCCAGGTGCCGGTGGAGGCGTTGGAGCGCAGCACGGGGCTCGAGTTGTTGCACAAGGTGCCGTACTACAACAAGAAGGACTTGTGCCAGGAGACGCGGTGTGAGATCATAGTGCGTGAGTTTCCGAAACAGGTGAGCGGGCTCTTGCCCAGCGGGAAGTAGAGCGGGGCCTAGAGGGACGGCGATCCACGTGGCCGGATAGTGATGGATGCGAGTCAAGAGATGATGGAGTGATGGAGTGAGAGTCAAGAGATGATGGAGTGATGGAGTGAGAGTAAAGAGATGTTGGAGTGATGGATGAGAGTCAAGAGATGTCGGAGTGATGGTCGAGATGTTTGAAGCGATGTTGAAGATGTCTCGAGCGATGCTAGGCAGATTTCTGAAATGATGCCCTTACAGTACTCGGAGATGTTTCAAGACATCCTTGGCGAAAATGAGCAGATCTCAGATGAAATTGTACATCGAAAGGGGTCCAAATGTCTGCCATGCTCTTTGATGTCACATACTAAGCTCGTCTCAGCATCACGCATTCTCCAATAACCAGCTGTTCATATACCTTGCGGCCGCCAAAAATTCCAGTATATTCATAAAAAAGAAAATATCTCATATGATTACTCATCTTCCTAAAACACGTATTTCTACAGGAAATGAGAAGATGCATGGGTCGTAGCCGACCAAAGATAATCCTACGAATCAATTCTGCTAATACTGAGTCCACAAGTGCGTCTTTTTTTTGTCACCAAAAGCACAGCGGCCCCTCACTAATTGTGAAACAACAACAAATTGCGTGCTTCCAATTGAATGCTCACGTATATCACCACAGTAGAAAGTCGCCTTTTTATATCACTTGTACCATGAGCCAGAGACCACTGCTATGCGTGATCTTCGAGTCCCGATGCATTATTCACATGAATCAAACAGGCATGAACGTTGATCGCAAGTCATTGTATAATTAATGTCGTTCAAGCTTGGATTTCAAATGCTATTCACATATCTAGTCCATGTTTGCTGGCCATGTCATATTTTTCGTCTTGCAGATTGATCTGGCTAGACGAAACCTAACGTAAAATGAAAGCTTTCCGAAAGCTCACAAACACGTACCTATCGTAGAAACTCGGCTCGTCAACTCCTGCTAATCACTGTGAGTCTTCATGAACAACTTCACAAAAAAGTAACTTTCGCCGCAAAAAATTGCAGCACCACAATTTCGCATATGGTCTCCCACTACACTACTCAGTGTGGCCCTATGCAGCTTAACTAACGTTGATCGGACGGGAAACAGTGCTTCCTGCATGGTATGGCCGCAACCGAAATATTGCTTTGAAGGTAACACACATCATTAACAGCAAGTTGTTTTCTGTAAATTCAAAAAATTGAAAATCTTATACTCGACATTATTTGTTGACCTTAATTCCCCAAATTGAAGACAATAAAACGCCGCAGATTATTTTGGAAGGAAGAGCTTGAACTCAATGTCCTAGGATTCGATGACGTAATATCCAATACGTAAACAGATACGTGCCATGAGGACTGTCCAGGCCGTGACTAACGGAAGGGGACGGGCCGAGCTAAGACACTTGGTACGTAGCTGGGAGCTGCTTAAAAGGTTTTTATATATATCTATATATTATTTATATAGTTTTGTTCCTTGAATCACTTTAATTTACCAAAAAAAAAACAGAATCTAAGAAATCTTGATTGATTTGTTAGAGTGGCTCCTTCAGTTAGATGAAAAGGAAAAAAAAAAGAAACTAGGAAATCTTAATTGGTTTGTTTAAGTTGCTCACAGGGTTTATTTGCTTAGGGACCAGGACGCAAAGACTAATGTACGTCTCGCCGCCAGGTCAAATGAACTATGATCACAGGCCCTTAGGAGAACGTATCATATGGGACGATGACCCTTGGTTGATTTGTTCAAGTGGTTTCTATTGGTTCTGGGCAGACGTCGCTTAGAGGAGAGTCACATCCTCTTTGGGTAATTTGGTGGATTAGTGCTCACGCCCTCATCTGAGCCATTGCTGCCATCTATTATAGGTTGTCCTCTATAGTTATTCGTTAGTGGCTGGCTTTGACATCCCTCCAGTGACGCCCTAAAATATGATGTTTTCTTCAAAAGAAAAGGAAAAAGCACGGGAGGGGGCAGGCCGAGTTTCGACTCAAGATACATCTGGGAGATGGTTGAAGGCCTTTTATATACTATTGTATAGTTTTGTTGCTTTGATAATAATATTTTGTACACCCTCCGACAAGTCGATGATAGTGTCATTAGGAGAAACGAGCGCGGCCTATACTCTGGGAAGCATTTATAATTGCAATGTTGTTTCTTTGTAGAATTTAGCTCTTGCTTGTGTGTTCACCTTCTCGTTGCTATATTTTACTAGAGGCGTTTTATACTACCATGATTATTGGAGAAAAGGCTCAAACAAGAGCCCAATTTGTATACAGACATGTCCAACTTCTTAGGTATGGAGTTTTTTTGAACCCTTAGACTTGATAAGGCCATGCTAAAAGCTAAATAATTAGACAAAGAGGACGACCTCGCTCGCGAATCGAAAAAAGAGCCAAATTTCACGTTTTCATTACCGCGCGTTCTATGGGAATGGGTAAGATACATGGCGATTCCTAGATGTCTGTAGGTAGCTCAGGAAAGGTTGACAAATAATAAGTTACATGCAGTGATACATTCAACCATCTTGTGTTTAGAGGCAGGACAAACACGGAAAGGGATTGATTAACGTATTTTTTTCGGAAGTTAGACCTAGACAAGCCCGCTGCAAAGTGAGCATCCATGACTAGAGCATATCCGGTAAAAAAAACCTCAGATGATTCCTGACAAGATCCAAAAAAGTTGGTTCATTTCGGCAAGCTCCACCAACTTATTTCATAATTTTTGCGGGGGCGGGAACTGACAAACGTCTTACCCTTTGAAAGTGGCTCGCAGGAACAGGCAAAAACGTTGTGTGATTTATATCCCAAGGCTTTGAAACAGAGATGCCACAATTTCAAAAAGTCAAATGAACATCTCATTATCGCTCGAAGTGGACCAGTGTCTACTTTCAGAAATCAGCAGAGGAACCGCGTTTTTAGAACAAGGGCCAAGGTACTGGTTTAGCACTACATTATGAAACTGCATCTGATGTATAAAGTCAGCGAGAAGAGACTTTCGTGCTTGTGATACCTTGCTAGATATTCAGGTCTAAGCAAGCGCTGTCCCAAGCTTTGAGATTTTTTGGACCACTAGAGTTTTGGTATAAAAGAAGACATTATGGGTACCCAAATCCTCGTTGAGAGGACAGCCCAAAAATCCCGTATTTTGTACATCCACTAAAGTATTTGTGATCCGCCATGCAGGTGTCCCTCAATATTCTGCGCTGTTCTCTTGAAAAAATCTAGCGATCTCTGTTCAAAAAGGTGGACCAAAAGACGACATACAGTCTTGGGTTCGACCCCAAATTCCCAAACCAGGACTTTTTCCTTTGTTTCTTACGTGGGAAATAGCCGAAACAAGGGGCCCAAATCTCGGCCACAAGGGGTTAGGATTTTGGGAAATTGCTTATTTTGGGAGTGTGTAGTGTCTGGAACCCTGGACCCTAAATGGCCCGTCACCAGCACCAATATTATGGCCACTTTCACGGCGTGTAGTTATGTAAAATATATCGGAGTCAATGCTTAGAAATTTAGCAGAGTATCAGGGGTCACGCCCCGCCAATCCCAGAAAGGACGATTGCACATCTCGAATCCCAAGAGAGGCATGAGTGAAGCCGCACGAAATTAAACTCTATATCTGTTTCTAAGACCTCTCCTGCACATATGTATTTTGGGAACATGGGTCCTACATGGATCGGTACGGAACCCTCACTGTAGCTCGTATTTGCCCACTAGAAATTATGGTTTGTGGTGTGATAAGATGGGGACCACGGTTGCAAATCTGGAGGTGTGCATCTGTGACCGAGAACCCGGAAACGAATGTCAATGGTGATGCAGAGGGATTTCCGAATCCTCTTTAGTTCCACCGTGCCCGACTTTATTGATCCATGTAATTCTACGAAGATTTGTCTTGATGGATCTCATGGGCTTTTTTATGACATTGTCGCTGGCTCAAAGGACTGTATTACTGTACTCTGCCGCTAGATGAATTATGTTCTCGTATGGCTCGTGGAGCCCATTGATGTGCTATATTCTTATAGAGTATATGTAGGGAGTTCAATTTTGTAGGGCTGAACCTGGCGGGCATACACTTGCAGAGATTTTGTAAGGTTTGATTTCAGGAATGGAAGCGACTTTACTTCACGACAGGAAGTGTGTCTCGTGTGATACGAAACATGAGTAATTCGAACCAACGAAAACCAAGCATCGGCAGAACTTACGAGCACCAAAGTCGGCGAACCTACGAAAAATCGGGATGCCACAACCGGGCATCGAACGTTTGCCAGACTTTTTCAAATTAAAAAAATAAAGCTCCCCATAACACCTACAACATCCAAAGCACCCAAAACATCCAAACCATCCAAAACATCCAAGACATTCAAAACATTTAAAAACAAAGAAATGAAAAAGCACACCAAAAACCCAACCACCAGCTTCATCCCTCGGGTTTCCATTTCAGCCGGCTAGGATCACTAGCGTCCTGAGATGTATTAAGACTGCACCTGCGCCTCTCACCCGGCTCCAGGAACACAACATGTAGTCCGAGTCTCCAACACATTATTAACGCCGTGAAACAAGAAACAAAGCGCCGAGCCTGCAAAGCCAAACATAGAATATACCAGGAATAAGAGGCGTCGGCAAAACAGCCCACGGCAGGCGGTGGTCACGTGGCCCACTGAGCAATACAGGTGTCTTCATTGGCCCGCGCTAATACATGCCCTGTCCGCTCCAGGCATACAGAAGCATAGAGCAGCACAAAAAAGATAGGGAAACACGGAGAACACAGCAAAGTAGAAATCATAGCAAAATGAAAACCACAGAAAGATAGAAAACATAGCCAAATCGAATCCCCGAGACTCGACACCCACATGCCCCGGCCGTCCCCGGAACCCACCCACACAGCGAACCTGCACACAGACATCCTCGTCTCACGCCATCCCAGCTTAAAGCGCTCTGCTCAAAATCCTCCACGCGAAAATCCCACCACGCGAAAAAGCCACGCAAAACACACAGAAAAAAACCACTGCAAGAACATATCCCAACAAACGCAGGCGCCTGCATAGACATTGTTGAGAGTAGCAGCGCGCGGAAAACCCAAAAAACGCCTCGCGTCCCAGATTAAATACCAATCTCATTCCAGCGAGAAAAAAGAAGCACGAAAACAGAGAGCCCCATCCGCCCGGTTCTTTTCTTTTCTTTGCTTCTACATCCGTCCTTTTCCAAAGCCCGCCTGCACGGACCCACCGAAAGAAACCAGCCCTTTGTGACTATATTCCCAGATTAGCCGCCGCGTACCACCCCTGTTTCTCTGGTTCCAATATAGAACACCACGCTTCGTTCCCGCCGAGCCCAGAACACGCCCCTTTTGAGAACAAGCACCCCCTTGCACAGCCGCTGCAAAACCACGCCGATTTCCTTGCCGAAGTCGCCACAAACACACCGCGCATACCCCCCCTTTAGCCGCCCACAATGACCACCGCCCACCGCCCCTTCACGCTTGCCCACGGCTCCATAGAGCTCACGGTCTTGGTGCCCACGGCCGTGTTTTTCAAGTACTCGCAGTTGAAAGAGCTGTTCGACAAGGCCTTGCCGGTGCCCACCGAGGGCTTTGCCGCCGACGACGAGCCGGCCAGTCCTGCAGAGTTGTTTGCCAAGTTTGTCGGCTTTACCGCCAGCTTGGTCGACCCCGCCGCGGCCGGCCAGTTCGACGAGATCTTGCCCCGCTTGTTGCAGGAGTTCGAGCTGCGCTACGTGGCCGGCCTGGACATCCACACGTTCGCCGCTGCTTTGCTCGCAGACGACACTTACCCCACCACGCCCTTGAAAGCCAAGGAGGTCATCAAGTGCTACTTCGACGCGGTGATTGCGTCCAAGGCCACCATCCCCCGCGCGGACGCCGCGTTGGTGCAGCAGCTGGCCGCGCGCACGGCCAAGACCTTGGCCATTTTCGGTGGCCAGGGCAACTCCGACGACTACTTCGAGGAGTTGCGCGAGTTGAACCACACGTATCGCGGCTTGGTGACGGACTTGCTTGCACGCGTTGCCCACCGCTTGTCCGACTTGGTCAAGACCACGGAGAACGTGGACAAGATCTACACCCAGGGCTTCGACATCATGGCCTGGTTGAAGAGCCCCGACCAGACCCCTGACCAGGACTACTTGTTGTCCGTGCCCGTGTCGTGTCCCTTGATCTGTGTTATCCAGTTGTGCCACTACGCCGTCACGTGCAAGACCTTGGGCGTGTCGCCCGGCGAGTTCAGGGACGCGCTTGTCGGCGCCACCGGCCACTCCCAGGGCTTGGTCACCGCTGTTGCCATTGCCCTGGCTGACTCGTGGGACTCGTTCCACGAGAACGCCTTGAAGGCCGTCTCCTTGTTGTTCTTCATCGGCTCCCGCTGTTTGACCACCTACCCGCGCACCTCCTTGCCCCCCACCATGTTGCAAGACTCTTTGGAAAACGGCGAGGGCAGACCCTCCCCCATGTTGTCTGTGAGGGACTTGCCCCGCGAGGATGTTGACAAGTTCATTGCCATCACCAACAAGCACTTGCCTGCCGAGAAGCGCGTGGCCATCTCCTTGGTCAACGGCGCAAGAAACTTGGTTGTCTCTGGCCCTCCAGAGTCTCTTTACGGTTTGAACTTGACCCTCAGAAACAACAAGGCTCCGTCCGGCTTGGACCAGGCTAGAGTGCCACACTCCCAGAGAAAGTTGAAGTTTGCCAACAGATTCTTGCCTATCCTCGCGCCCTTCCACTCCCACTTGTTGGAACCTGCAACCGCAATGATCTTGGACGACATCGACAGAGAGAACTTGCAGTTCCGCGCCGCCGACATCAAGATTCCTGTCTACGACACCTACTCGGGCGAGAACTTCCAGAACTCCACTGCGGAAATCGCTGCCAGAGTCACTGAGTGCATCACCCAGTTGCCTGTCCACTGGGAGGACGTCACTCAATTCGAGTCCACCCACTTGTTGGACTTTGGTCCCGGAGGCGTTTCCGGCTTGGGTGTCTTGACCCACAGAAACAAGGAGGGTACCGGCTCGCGTGTCATTATTGCTGGCGCGCTCGACGTGGCTATTGACGACGAGTACGGCTTCAAGCAGGAGATTTTCAACACCAATGCCGACTCCATCAAGTGGGCACCTAACTGGTTGGAAGAGTTCAAGCCCAAGTTAGTCAAGACCAAGGCCGGCAAGGTCTTTGTTGACACCAAGTTCTCCAGATTGTTAGGCAGAGCCCCACTCATGGTCCCAGGTATGACTCCTACCACGGTCAACACTGAGATCGTCACCGCCGCCACCAACGCCGGCTACCATATCGAGTTGGCTGGAGGAGGCTACTTCAATGCCAAGGGCATGCAGGACGCCATTGACGAGATCACTCAGAACATCGTGCCCGGAAGCAGCATTGGTATCAATTTGATTTATGTCAACCCAAGAATGTTGCAATGGGGTATTCCTTTGATCAAGGAGTTGAGAGAGAAGGGCTATCCTGTGCAGTCCTTGACCATTGGTGCTGGCGTGCCTTCTATGGAGGTTGCTACCGAGTACATCGAGACCTTGGGTATGACCCACTTGGGCTTGAAGCCAGGTTCTGTCGAGGCTATCAGTGCTGTTATTGCAATTGCCAAGGCCCACCCCACTTTCCCTATTGTGTTGCAGTGGACTGGTGGCAGAGGTGGTGGTCACCACTCTTTCGAGGACTTCCACCAACCTATCTTCCAGATGTACTCCAAGATCAGAAAGTGCTCCAACATCGTCTTGGTTGCCGGCTCTGGATTCGGGTCTGACGAGGACACCTACCCATACTTGACTGGTTCATGGTCCACTGAAGCCAACTACCCACCAATGCCTTTTGACGGTGTGTTGTTTGGCTCGCGTGTGATGACTGCAAAGGAGGCGCACACCTCATTGGAGGCAAAGAAGCTCATTGCTTCGTGCCCAGGTGTCCCCGACAGCCAATGGGAGACCACCTACAAGAAGCCAGCTGGTGGTATCGTGACTGTGAGATCTGAGATGGGCGAGCCTATCCACAAGATCGCCACGAGAGGTGTCATGTTATGGAAGGAGTTGGATGAGACTATCTTCAACTTGCCAAAGAACAAGCTTGTGGATGCCTTGACCAAGAAGAAGGACTACATCATTAACAGATTAGACAAGGACTTCCAAAAGCCATGGTTTGCTCGCAACGCTGCAGGTGTCTGTGACTTGGAAGACATGACCTACCAGGAAGTTGCCAACAGATTGATTGAATTGATGTACGTGAAGAAGTCTGGCAAGTGGACCGATCTTTCTCTCAGAAACTTTTTTGCCAACTTCTTGAGAAGAGTTGAAGAAAGATTCACCGCCAAGGCTGACCAAGTTTCCTTGATCCAAAACAATTCCCAGTTAACCAAGGACCCACAACAATTTTCCGACAAATTGTTCGATGCTTTCCCAACCGCCAAGGAGCAATTGATTTCTGAGGAGGATTGTGACTTTTTCTTGATGTGCTGTGCTGCTCCAGGGCAGAAGCCTGCTCCTTTCGTTCCTGTCTTGGACGAGAGGTTTGAATTCTTCTTTAAGAAGGACTCTTTGTGGCAGTCCGAGAACTTGGAGACTGTCTTTGATGGAGATGTTCAGAGAACCTGTATTCTTCATGGTCCAGTTGCTGCTCAGTTCACTAACAAGATCGATGAGCCCATCAAGGAGATTTTGGATAACATTCACGATGGACACATCAAAAAGTTGATCAAGGACGAGTACAGCGGCGATGAGTCAAAGATCCCTGTCGTCGAGTTCTTCAGCGATGTGGCTCCAATTGAGAAGAAGGCTCTTGCTGGCGTTGTCGCGGAGCAGTCTTCCACCAAATCTGTCTACAAAGTCGGCTCCAAGCTCCCATCCAAGAAGGAATGGATTCAGACCTTGTGCGGTGACAAGTTGAACTGGTTGTACGCTTTGATCTCCACTAACAGAATCGTGCAAGGTAAGAAGCATGTGCCTAACCCAGTGCACGACATCTTGGGCCCTGCTCCAAACAGTGTTGTTGAGATTGTGAACAGCACCGATGCCTCGAAGATCTCGCTTGTTCTTTCCGAGAAGGTTCAAGGTGATCTTAAGCCAGTCGTTGAGATCAAGATCAATAGCAAGTCTCAGATTGAGATGAATTTGATCGAGCACAGAACTGCTGACGGCAAGCCTGTCTCCTTGCCATTCTTGTACGACTTCAAGCCAGAGGATGGGTTTGCCCCAATTGCTGAGGTTATGGAGGGCAGAAACGATAGAATCAAGGAGTTCTACTGGAAGTTGTGGTTTGGAAGTAATGTCCCAGTTGACTTCGACATTGATGTTGAACAGGTTATTCCAGGTGAGGAAGTCACTGTCTCCGGTAAGGATATCTCCGAGTTCACGCACGCCATTGGTAACACTTGTGAGGCTTTCATTGACAGACCAGGCAGAAAGACTTTGGCTCCAATGGATTTCGCCATTGTTGTCGGATGGAAGGCCATTATGAAGGCAATTTTCCCAAAGACCATTGATGGCGACTTGTTGAAGTTGGTACACTTGTCCAACGGCTACAGGATGATTCCTGGCGCTGCTCCATTGCAAAAGGATGATGTTCTTTCTACCAAGGCTGTGATCAACGCCGTCTTGAACCAGCCATCTGGTAAGAAGGTGGAAGTTGTCGGCACTATCTACAGAGAGGGTCAGGCAGTAATGGAGGTCACGTCCTCGTTCTTCTACAGGGGCCAATACCTCGATTACGAGAACACCTTCCAGAAGGTCACTGAGGACCCAGTGCAGATTGCATTCAAGTCCAGCAAAGACTTGGCCATCTTGAGATCTAAGGAATGGTTCCATTTGGACAAGGATGTCGATTTGATGGGCCAGACATTGACATTTAGATGTGAGTCTGTCTACAAGTTCAAGTCCGAGGAAGTGTACTCTTTCATCAAGACGACTGGTAAGGTTTTGTTGGAGTTGCCAACTAAGGAGATGGTTGAGATTGGCTCTGTTGACTATGAGGCGGGTGTTTCTCACGGAAACCCAGTGACTGATTATTTTGCTAGAAACGGTCAGACTATCGAGCAAGACGTTAAGTTTGAGAATGCCATTCCGCTCGCTTCTGGCGAGGAATTGAGATCCAAGGCTCCATCGACCAACGAGCCTTATGCGAAGGTTTCTGGTGACTACAATCCTATTCACGTTTCCAGAGTCTTTGCCGCTTATGCCAAGTTGCCAGGTACTATTACCCACGGTATGTACTCTTCTGGTTCCATCAGAGCTTTGGTTGAGGAGTGGGCTGCTAACAGCATTGCTTCCAGAGTTAGAGCTTTCAATGCCACTTTTGTTGGTATGGTTTTGCCTAACGACATCTTGCAAACCTCTTTGGTGCACATTGGCATGGTGAATGGTCGCAAGATCATTAAGGTTGAGACCAAGAACGTGGAAACCGACACCACTGTTTTAGTTGGTGAAGCTGAGATTGAGCAACCAGTTACCACCTACGTTTTCACTGGACAAGGTTCTCAAGAACAAGGTATGGGTATGGACTTGTACAACAACTCTGAAGTTGCTAAGGAAGTCTGGGACAGAGCTGACCGTCACTTTGTCAACAACTATGGTTTCTCCATTCTTGACATTGTGAAGAACAACCCTAACGAGTTGACAGTGCACTTTGGAGGTGCCAAGGGAAGAATGATTAGAGACAATTATATCTCTATGATGTTCGAGACCATTGGTGACGACGGCGAGATCAAGTCTGAGAAGATTTTCAAGGAGATTGATCACACGACAACCTCTCACACTTTTGTGTCTCCAACTGGTTTGTTGTCAGCCACTCAATTCACCCAACCAGCTTTGACTTTGATGGAGAAGGCATCTTATGAGGACATCAAATCTAAGGGATTGGTACCATCGGATGTCATGTTCGCTGGTCACTCGTTGGGTGAGTACTCTGCGTTGTCTTCGTTGGCCAATGTTATGCCAATCGAGTCCTTGGTGGATGTTGTTTTCTACAGAGGTATGACTATGCAAGTTGCTGTTCCAAGAGACGAGTTGGGAAGATCTAACTACGGTATGTGTGCCGTTAACCCTACTAGAGTCAGCCCCACTTTCAACGATGCTGCTATGAGATTCGTTGTCGATGAAGTTTCGGAGAAGACTGGATGGTTGTTGGAGATTGTCAATTATAACGTTGAGAACACTCAATATGTCACTGCTGGTGACTTGAGAGCTTTGGACACTTTGACCAACGTGTTGAATGTGATCAAATTGAACAAGATCGACATTGTCAAGCTTCAGGAGCAAATGTCTCTTGACAAAGTCAAGGAGCACTTGAAGGATATCATTGACGAGGTTTCTGCTCAATCCTTGGCCAAGGAACAGCCTATCGACTTGCAAAGAGGGTTTGCGGTCATTCCATTGAAGGGTATCTCGGTTCCTTTCCACTCTTCCTACTTGATGTCTGGTGTCAAGCCATTCAAGAGATTCTTGTGCAAGAAGATTCCAAAGTCTTCTGTCAAGCCAAAGGACTTGATCGACAAGTACATTCCTAACTTGACTGCGAAGCCATTCCAGATCACCAAGGAGTATTTCGAGGAAGTCTACGAGTTGACCAAGTCTGACAAGATCAAGTCGATCATTGACAACTGGGAGTCGTATGAGAAAGCTTAAGCGCTGCTGCTATGCTATGCTACAAAACGATTTAGTTGATCTACTGGAAAGATCGATAAGAACAGAAGGCATGATGCGAAGACAGAATATTATTGCGGAGGAGAATTTGACATTCGTTGCCTAGAAGTTCGGAAAGCACGTGGTACTGCTTTTCGTGGCTGAATTGGCGACGCCTCCATATTTGTATTTAGGTTATAGAACGAAACGGAATAATAATTATTGATAAGAGCGAGGTGTGTATTCTAATCTATATCTCCGAAGTAAGAGGGCTGGAGATGTTCACCGGGGTGAACTTCTTGGGCATTGACACTCGTGGGAACCTTGACTTCAATCTCTGGGTGACCAAATCCATGTCTAAATGTCTCGTCAAACTGAGACGAGGAATGCAACCGATGTAGTGATCATCATCAAGATGGACATCTAAAGGATCCTGTGTGTGACAACCAGGCGAGAGAGATAGTCTTATGGAGTGCTTCTGGCCGCCTGGGCTCGAGGAGTCGCCGGATTCGTAGATCTCAAAGGTGATCTGAGACAAGTAATCCAACTCAGGCAAGGCATTTCTAGCGATTTTCATTGGGAGTTGGGCTCCGTAGATGATATTCAAGAGCGTGTAGATGTGAGATTCCTTTGTGAAGTAGTTCACCACGGCGGCCTTGTCGTGCTTTTTCATGTCTTGGATATCCGAAAGAATTTGTTTCGCCAAAGGCAAAGAAGTCAACAAGCCAATATCGAGCTTTTCCTCGTCCTTAATACCGTATTCTTGAGGACAGATAAAGTCGAAAAGCACTTTTGAGAGCCTATATAACTCTCTGAGCCGGGCATAGGTAGGGTCATCAAATTCGTTCTCGGGAGCCTTTTTTGATGAAGAGCTTTCTTTCGATGACGACTCATCCTTTGACGAAGAGGTAGAGCCTGTCAAAACCCAACCCAATGAGCCGGCCAAGGCATTTATGTTCGTAAAGTTTGTGGCACTTGACGAATTGGAGGAGGAGGAAGTAGTCGGGACCGTTTCACTAGGGATTTTGAAACCGTTCATGGCCAATATATTGATTGGGTACTCGCTGACCAACCCGGACGAATTGACGGTTCCATCACAGTTATCAGCCAAGCGCTTGAGAAGTTTCTTATCGGACGGGTCATAGGAGAAGATCTTGCGCAAAAAGTCCTTGTTGTGCAAGGCGTCGTACTTCATAGTGTCGTACAACTCGGAGATTTTGGAAGGATGAGTTTTCTCCACGGTGGTGAACTCCTGGAAGAGCTTATCCCAGCGTTCCTTGAACAAGTACGGGTCTTCCCCACAGCACCAGGTGCTTTGGAACTCATTGACGTCATACTTTTCGAAATTGAACGCCATGATCTCTTTGTGGAACACCATCAACTCGCAGACCCGCTTGATGACAACGAACGGCTGGGGCATCTTAGGTGGCCATGTGAACTGCGGCGGGGCCTCGGCGCCTTGTCTCAACAAGGGCTTCAACTTCTTCTTGACCTTGTCCATGAGATCTTTCGCGGCGTTGGAGTCGTCCAACAAGTCTTTGCGGATGATCAAGAAGTCGTCAGGCAAGGATTCCAAGCCCAACATGGAGCAGGTGGCCAAGTGCGCACTGGCGATGACTCTTCGTTCGGAGGAGGTGTAGACCTTGACGTCGTTCAAGGCCTTGCGGTTCAAGAGCTTGATGTTCTGCCCCATCTGCTCGCCCACGTCGGAGGCCTGGTGCTTGGCCGAGTGCGTGGGCTCGCCGCCCCACTTCAAGATGAACTGGACCTTGTCCACGACGTCCGGGTTGTCTGGGTTCAAGGAAGGCTTGATCTGGATCTTGGTGCCCGGAAAGCTCATTTTCTTCTCCAAAGCGCCGCGCAACTGGCGGAGCTTGTTCAAGTCCTCGAGCTGCTTGGCCTCGGCGATCTTGACGGTCTCCAAGACCACCTGCAAGTCGGGCTCTGCGCGGATGATGACCTCCTCCTTGTGGCCCTTCAAGAGCGAGATGAACAAGGGCGAGCGGAAGGAGTATTTGAACTTCTGCTTCGGGGTCCTGTCCGCGTGGCGGATCACCGAGACCGCGCCCTTGAAGACCCACTTCTGCTCCTTGACCTCGAACTGCGACTGGTGGATCTGCGCGGTACGCGGGATTTTGTTCTTGATGACGTCGCGGCGCTTCTTGGCCTCCACGAACATGGTGCGCAAGATGGACGCGCACGCGTCGTAGTACTCGTTGTTGTCCTTGACGAACGAGAAGCCGTTGACGTCGATCACGTAGCTCTGGCCGTTGACGCGCAAGAGGTCGAAGCCGCAGATGGTCTGGCGGAACACGCGGCTGACGTTCTTGGCCATGCGCTTCTCGTCCGCAGACAACTCCGTGACGAAGCGCATCTCCTTGCCGTGCGTGTTGCGGCGCACAATGCCGTCCACCACCGGCGACTTGCGCGTCTCCGCGTGGCAGAAGCCCGCCCCCACCGTGTACGCCTTGACGTCCTCGAGGTTGTCCGTGTCCATGAACTTCTCGTACACGAACAGGCCCTCGGTGCGCGGCCCGTTCAAGTCCGCGTCGAACTCGGACGACTTGTTGCCGATCTTGCGGAAGAGCCGCCGCCCGCCGCCGCCCGTGGCCCGCGGGTAGTAGATGTACACGTTGTGGTCCTCGCCGTCCACGGGCTTCTCCACGTAGGGCTTGGCCATCACCTGGCCGTCCACGTAGAGCGTGTCGTCGTCGAGCATGCGCCAGTCCGGCTCGTGCTGGCTGGTGAGCCGGTCGATGTGCAGCGCCGGCACGCCCACGGCCACCAACGTGGCGCGGAGCGCCTTGTCGACGCGTGGCCCGCCGTCCCGCGAGATCTCCAAGCGCTGGGGCGTGGGCACCTGCGCGTGGTTGAGGATGCTGAGCACGAGCCGCCGGTCCCACAAGGCCTTCTGCAACACCAAGTCGTTGAGCAAGAACGGCTGGCGGTAGTTGGCGTAGGCAATGGCCTTGTCCAAGGGGAAGCCCGTGGAGAAGAAGCTGATGAGGAAGTCGCACGTGGGCCAGTTCTCGATGGCCTCGTCGAGGATCACCTTGTCGCCGAAAATGACCGTCTCGAACTCGCCGTTTTCGATCAAGCGGCTCAAGATGCGCCGGCACGGCTTGGACATGGCCTTGGCGTCCATGGCGCACACGCCGATTTTGCCGATGCGCTGCTTGTCGCCGGCGCCGCCGCAGCCCGTGCCGGACGCGGATTTTTTCAGCGTGTTCGACAGCCCCAGCACCAGCCGCTGGAGCCGCGCCAAGCCCGCGTCCCACAGGCCCACCAGGTCGGCGCGGGCGCCCGGCTTGGCGTCTCCCGGCGCGAGCTGGTTGATTTTCTGCACGTTGTCCACCGTGAGCAGCAGCAGCTCGGAGATCGCGGAGAGCGAGCTGCGCCGCGGGCTGCTGCCGGCAAGGTGGCTGGCCACGCCGCCCTTGGCCTCCTCGGCGCTTGTTTTGGGCGCAAACGCCTCGAGCATGGGGGCCAACGAGGCCATGGCTTTCTGTGTCTCCGCAGTGTCGCCGGACGCGGCGCGCTGCGGCCCGTGCGGCGCCGGAATCGGCGTTGCCGGCGCAGGTTTGTCCATGGCGGCCGTTTTCTGGGTGGTTTTGGGGTGGTTTTGCGGTGTTTTGCTGCCACTGGATACTGGCTTGCCGCTGTTATCTGGGGAGAATGGTGCGATCTGGGGAGTAGTGCGACGGGGCACGTGGCGCGGGGCACGTGGCGCCACTGTGCAGGACGTGGCCAGGCCCCGGCGCTGCTGAGCCGGTGTTTGAGGGGGTTTTCGGGGGTGTGGGGCGACAGGGCGGTGGGAGAAGTCTTGATTGTTTTGGTTTGGTTTGGTTTGGTTTGGTTTGGTTTGGTTTGGTTTGGTTTGGTTTGGTTTGG